CCTGGAGGGGAGTGAGCACCCCGCTGTCTGCTTGGGCAGCTCTCTGTGGCCTGCAGGTAAATCCATTAGTACCGAATCCTGTCTGATCCTGGAGGGGAGTGAGCACCCTGCTGTCTGCTTGGGCAGCTCTCTGTGGCTCCTATAGCTGCACACATATGCCATAGGGAATGCTGTGGGGTGTGCGTGGCTCCTGTGCTGGGCAAACTCCTTTTCCTGGGAAAGAAAGAGCCTGGGTGTTGCGAGGTACTTGGGGCAGAGTTGGATGCAGAGTGTTTGCACCAGGGCTCCAGCTGGGACCTGGGGTCCCCTGCGGCTTGCGCAGCTCTTCTGGGCGTCAGGCACCAGCCCTGGTGCTGGGGCATGGAGGAGGGCAGGATCCGGCCCTGATGGACTCGTGAGATGGCAGCAAATGTTGCCGCTAGCTGGGAGAGAGCACCACCTAAAAATGGTGTTTGGGGGTGCTTGTGCCCGCTGAGAGGCAGGGAGGCACGCGGTTCCCATCCCAGGGCTGCTGGCGCGTCCCGGCTTCTGCATTTGCTCTTCTCACCACTTGGCTGGGGGGGTTCCCAATGGGTCCTTGTCACCCCAAAATACACACCCCTTCTCCCTGGGTGTGGGGCTGGGGAGCCCCATCAGAAAATCACGTGCTCATACCCTGTTTTTCCCTCCCCATCCCCAGCTCCGCCATCCAGCTGGTGAGCGTAAATCAACTCCCATGCGCGGGCTGGCCTTGGAGCTGGCGTGAAAACCCCATCAGCCTGGTGTTTGGATCCGTTCAAGTTCAGAACCTCCTGTTTGGCGATGTCACGCCGAAATAACCTCTCACTTGGCATCTGAGCGGCAGTTTGGGTTATTTGTTTGGGGTCTGGCTGCTGGCGGTGAATAAGAAGCTGCTGCCAATGCTCTGTCTGCAAGTGTGTTTCGCCGAGTGAATGGACAGGCTCTAAAACCTGCTCTTTCAAACCAGATTAATCGCATTAGGCTTTGTCAATGCAAAAATTACCTCATCATTGGCACTGGCAGGTGGTGTAGAGCAGCAGACTTATTCAATATTTAAGAAAGCTGCATTGCAGAGCTGAGAAGGCTGGAGAAATAGGTTGCCTGTGTCAGTGTCTTTGCTGGTGGAGAAGATCTCTGCAGGCACCGCCAAGTGTGAAATGTTGAGCTTACCGTAAAAACCTGATTATTGCACTGGGAGTCTTTGAAATACTGAATTTTCTGTTTTCTACCTCGGTATGTTATCTCCAGACGGCTAAACCGGTGTATTTGGGCAGCCCTGTAATGGTCTCTCTTTGCAGATGCCCGGTTGGTGGTGGCAGTGTGGGTCCCTCCGGTGGCTTTGGGTCCTGCCTGGGGCACCTGCTGCCCCATGTCCCTCCTGGTGCCCACGGGGCAGGATGGGCTCCGACCATGGGGTTCACGCCGTGGGGCTCCCGCTACCTTTCCCTGCCCACCCAGGGCTGCTGGAGGACGAGGGGCACCCGCCAGTTGCTGACGCTGCATCCGCTTGATTTTGGGTGCTGGCAGTGGGCCCGTGAATTGGCACCTCTTGGCTCAGAGCGAGCAGGGTCTGAGCACAGGACGACAGCACTGGCGGCTTGGGGAGAGGCAGAGTGATTCATGGAAGACATTCAATCCCTTTTTATTAAGGCATGATAGAATTCATGGGCTCCGTCATACAGAAGTAATGGAGCAGTGTGATTAGAGTCATGTGGCTCTTCCTTAAGGCCAGAAATTAAGACCTTGCTTCTATTCCTGGCTCTGCCCGGGACATGCCGTGTTCGCGCCAGTGGGAGCTGCCACCTCGCTCCTCCCGACCTCTGCTTGCAATCGGGGAGCCTCGAGCAGCCAGCACCGCGCGGGGACAAGAGGGACCTGGGGGAGCAGGTCCTGGGACCCTTTGGGGACAGCCAAACCCTGGAAGGTCTTGGCATCCTCCTAGGATGGGATATTTCAGTTTCATTAACTAAATGCTGCTGCATCCCATCAATCACGACTTGGATTGCCACATCCTTTTGCTTGTGAGCCAGGATTTGGTGGGGGGGAAAAAGCCACCGTGAGCTGTTATTTTGTTCTTTACTGTGCACTAAAAATGCAGAACCAAGCATTAGGACGAGAAAGAGTAGTTGCTGGAAGTAATGCAAAGTAGATCTTCAAAATCTATTATTTATAGGCAGAGGGAAGGGCTTGTGTATTCCTCCAGGAGCCATCCCCGGGCTCTTCTCCATCCGCAACAAAGTGAAACACCCGCGGCCTCTCTATTATTAGCAGAAAGTTCTAGCTGGGGGAAAGAGTTTTCCTCCCTGCCGGCTGAAGTGCCAGTGATCGCTCTACCCTCTTCGCTAGGAGAAAACAGGGATTTTTCCCTATTCTTTGTGGGGCCGGGGTGGCCACCCCTGCTCCGTGTGACCTTGGGCAAGTCCCTTATCTGCCTGTGCCTCCCCAAAAATGGGTGCCGGCGGCATGGCGCTGACCTTCCAGGGCACCCCATTAAATCTGCGTGCAGCCCCGCAAGCCCCCCTGCTCCCGGCCGTGGTGGGACCCTAAATCCCCAGCAGGAGGCTCCCGGCCGTGGCGGGACCCTAAATCCCCAGCAGGAGTTTGCTGCTGCAGTGCAGATTGTGGAGGTGGCGGTGGGGATGTAAATGAACAATTTGCTTATTTAACTGACCTTGTCAATCAGAGCCTTCTGGTCTGGCACAGGAATAGTCGCTGTATGGAACCAGCAGAGCACTAATTACCCCATGTGCTTCACTTTTTTTTTTATATGTATATTTTTCTGTATTTTTGGAAGTTATCAGTGAAGCAAAGGTGATCCTCAAATCTCTGCTGACTCTTCAGAGGCTGATGGAGAAACCCCTGCAATATTGCAGAGCAGAAAGCAGAGGATGGGAATTATTTTTCCCCCTTTCTGGGAACGTTGCACTTTTTTTTTTTGTGTGTGGCTTGCAGTTTGTGATTTCAGTGGGGTGGTTTTGCAAGCTCCCGTTTCCCATCCTCTCCTTGGGACAACCTCCCCAGTGCTCCCGTTGGAGTTTTGCTGAGAGCTGGAGTCGCTTTGTGCCCTGTAAAGGTGCATTTGCTGGGTCTGGGCTGAGCTCCGGTCCTGCTGGGACCCACGGGCAGCTCTGGGACGCTGGCTTCGGTGCTGGGATGTGGCGGGACGTGGGCAGCTGAGTGGTTCCTTCCAGCCGGGGAGGAGTCTGGGGCAGCATCTTCCCAGGGCAGCAGGTTTGGGAGGATGAATGGCCCACGGGCTGGGAGCAGCCCTGCTGCCCGCGGGCCGGGCTCTGCGGAGGGGTTTGGGGTTTTATGTTTTTGTGTTGGTTGGTTGGTTGTTTTTAGTTCTTCTGCAGGCAGGAGAAAGCCATTCAAATGCAGGTGCTGTGAGAAATGCAGGCGGGAGGCTGCTGCCGCGGGGGGATCCCAGCGGGTACCCTGTGCCAGCTCCGCTTCAGCGCTCTGCAGAGGAGATGGATGGGGGGAAAATCCCGCAAATGGGAAATAGTTGAGCTCACAAAAACTTTCCCCCATTGGCGGGGGGTCCTAATGAAGGAGTGATTCGTATCATCCTTGGTGCCTTGTGCTCTCCTTAGTGCTGCAGTAAAGCCAACCCCTCGGTGGATGGATTGCCTTTTCTCTTCTATTTCCACCTTAATAACTGTAAAGGGAGGCTCGACCTGAGCTTCTCCCTTTGCAAGCGATATCTTGTGGGTGATGCCATCTGTGGACCCACAATCTGCACCTGCTGCTCTTGGGGACCATCCCGAGATGGGTCCAGGCGTGACGGTGACTTGCGGCATAATTGCAGTGTCCCCCGGCACCCCACGGGCTGGGCAGGGGTGAGGGGCGGCGCAGGAGGATGGATCCTGCCCTGCCCTTGGCTGGGGGACACTGCTCTGCCTGCGGTGTTCGCCCTGTGTAAAAGCACTGGTTTTCCCCCAGACGGATGGATCCGTCCCCGCGCCATGGGCAATGCTGGTTGGCATCGGCTCGGGCTTTGCCACCCAGTCCCCGACCCATGCAGTGAGTGGGGGCGGTGGGTGGAGGGGGAAAACCCCCAGAAAGTGGGGATAAATAAGCGCTTGTGTTCTGAATTTTACATCAATTTGTTTTTTAATAAAAACTGTCAGTTTTGCCGAAAGGGAAGGTTTGGGAGATTGGCATCGGCTCGGTTTTTGCCACCCAGTCCCCGACCCATGCAGTGAGTGGGGGCGGTGGGTGGAGGGGGAAAACCCCCAGAAAGTGGGGATAAATAAGCGCTTGTGTTCTGAATTTTACATCAATTTGTTTTTTAATAAAAACTGTCAGTTTTGCCGAAAGGAGAAGGGTTTGGAGAGGTTCCTTTTTGATGAGTCTTGTGGAGATGAGTAGACAGAATATCATCTTTGGGTCCTGTTGCCGCATCCTCCTTCAGTGCCTCTGCCGGTTTCATTTTGCAAAAACTTTAGTAAACAAAAATGAAAAAGGAGGAGTTTTGTTCCAGAGGGAATGTGGTTTGGGGGAGGACAGCAAGACGTGCTGGGCTTTGGGGGGAAGTTTCATAGTTTGTAGATTTTTCTCTGAAACAGAAACATCCTCTTCCCTCCCAGCTCTGAAGCCTCATAATTAATGTGAGGTCAGGTATCTCATTAATTACATCCACACTGAACGTGGCTGTGTTGCCCTCCTGGGAGGGTAGCGGTTGTAGGCTCCTGTGTCTCGTGCATGATATCGAGACAGCAACTAAAGTGACATTCCTGTTCCTCTCCCGCTCCTCTTAATGCCAAAAATAAAGCCCTGCCCGGTGTGATTTTGTGTTTTTTGTTGTGGGTTTTTTTTTCCCCCTACAGCCTGGCTGAAAGCACCAGGTTCCTTTTGTCGGCATCGCTGCTCTCTGAGAGCACGGGCAGACGAGCAAGTGATTGACTTCCCACGCGTTCTGAGTCGGCACTCATCGGCAGAGCACCGGTGTGCCCAAACTCGCTCTGCGTGTCCCTGCATCCCCTCGGCAGCCAGCGATGACCGACGCGGTGGTGGGTGGCAGCTCTGACCGGTGGATGTGCCCCAGCGACAGGACCATGTCTCTCCGGGCCAGGTGAGAGGAGGGGGCTGGGGTCGCAGGGATGCTGCTGGTGCGGAAGGGAGGAGAGTCCCCGGGGGTGGGAGGCGATGTGGGTGCAGCCGCCCTGGTTCCTCTTCTGGGGACATTGGGAATTGGGTTTGCACCGGTTAGATGGGGACGTTTTGCCCTGTTGCCTCCTAAACCGCCTGAGAAAGGTGGTGGGGATGGACCCACGGGTGTCCACGCACCCCTGTGCCAACGGGGAGCCTTGTCCATCCCGATGCCCTCCAACGCGGCTGCCGTGCAGGGTGGTGCTGCATCCCACTGCGTGGCAGATCTCCATCCCGGCTGGATGGGTGGTGGCAGCACCCACAGATGGGTGCTGGTTTTGGGTGCCCGGATGATGCAGGGGCTGGGCGAAGCTTGTGTTCGGAGCTTGCTGCTCTGCGCTGCTTTGGAGGAGCAGCGGGGGTCCACGGAGAGGGACACGCTGTCGGAGACTGTCAACCCCGAGGCGGGGAGAGCGCTGGCCTCGTCCCTTCTCTCACCTAATCCTTGTTCCCTCTCTTTCCCTGTGCCTCCCAGCAGCGAGAAGGAGCAGTAAGTATCTCGCTTGCTTTTTTTTGGCCTATTGCTCTTCACCTGCTACTCTAATGGTCTTGAGAGAACAGGAAAAATCTTGCCCTGGATGCAGGAAAAAAGCAATTAATTTTGGGAAGTGTTGAACAGGGTTTTAATGAATTTTAAGGTTTAAGACCGTGCAGGTCTGCTCAGCCCTGGCAGGAAAGACCCAGGAAAGGTCTTTAGATGAGCAGAAAGATGAGGGGAGGAGAGGCCTTTTGCCTCCTTTGTTAGCGTTGCCCCTCTGCCACCTGCTCATTTGCAGGGCTGAGTGGCAGACGTTACCGTGTCACCAGGTTAAAGCTGCCTGACGCCCAGGCTGCGCTCGCTGTGCGAAAGGATCTTTGGAAATGACGGTAGGAGAGGAAAAACTCTGATGTTTGATGAAATGTACCCCAAAAAACCCCTCCTGCTCCTGTGGCCATTGCCCTGGTACCACAGCTCACTGGCAAACCTGGCGTTACATGGCAGAGAGCAGGGTGCAAAATTAGCCACGTCAGTTGATGCTTAACATGGAAATAATGAGAATACTTTTGAAGAGGAAAGGGGTTTTCTCCATATGAAACAAGTGTTTCTATATGAAACCTCCCCAAAATGGAAATAAGAGCTTCCAGCTGGTGGGTGGGGGCCATTTGCAGGCTTCCTGCTAGAAGAGAGCTTGGAGGATGGGGAGATATCGTACCCCTTCTTCCCTGGCCTTGGGAATTGGTGCCTGGCTATTGCCCACACACGCGTGTGATTGCACATGTGCATGCACACACATGATCTGTGGACGAAGCCCTGGCCCCCCTCTCCCCGCAGGCTCCCCGCTGGCTGGGCAGCACGGGGTGGCCAGCCTGACCGGCAGCGCAAGAGCGAGGAGTTGACGGACGAGGAGAAGGAGATCATCAACCGAGTCATCGCCCGGGCCGAGAAGATGGAGGAGATGGAGCAGGAGCGCATCGGGTAAGGCGGTGGTGGCACCGGCACCGCGCTGGTGGGACGGGAGGGACCCCACGCCTTGCCGGTGCTGGCGGGGGAAAGCGCTCGCCTGGCTGCTTTCCTGGCCAGCAGCTACTGCGCTGACTGCACTGCAGTGTTTCTCCTGAAAGGGAGCCTGCGGGGGATCTTTTTGAGCTGGCGTTGGTCCTTGGCCAGGAGGAACCTGTAAGCAGGGGAGGGAGCCGCTTGGCATGCTGCTGCCGCTCGGTGTGCCGCTGTGTTCTAGACCAAGAATTTATAGTCTCATCGATTTTCTTTTTTTCTTTTTTTCCGGTCCAGAAGGGATCATTAATAACATCTCATTTCGGGGAGCGAGGCTGCTGCTGCTTGCCCCATCCTGAGCCCGAGCATCCGTGAGTGCAGGCAAAGCCATGGCTCACCAAAAGGTGTTTTGTCTTGTTTTGGGAACACGGATGGATCCATCGCCCCCTCCAGCAGCGTGTCCCGGCGGTTAATCCCTCCTGCCACCCAGAAATGAGCTGTCTGTGGAGCTGAATAGGTCTGAGTGTTGCACAGCCTTGGGGCTGGCCACATGTTGGGACCAGCTCCTGGGGGGGCTGGGGATGCTGGTGCTGCCCCAACCACATCCGTGGTGGGGTACCCGCCATCGCTGGCGGGTGCTGCGGGCATCCCCGGTGCTGATGCACCTGGCCTGGAGCAGAGGGCAAGACGTGCCTGTGTTTGCTTTTATTGCATCTCTACCCTGCCTGGGCAAAGGTGCCAGGCGAAATAACGCTAATAATTAGGTATTGACTTGCTGTGCTGGGGATGGTTTTCTGGAGGGGATCTCCATAATCCTGTTTGTCAGGCGTCATGCCTTTTTTCGTTACAGAGGAGCGTTTTATTCTTGCTGAGCTTAAGCATCGACTACTTTTCCCTGCAAGGTTGGGGGGGGGAAATACTCAGGCCCAGGCAGGAACTGTGCTCTCTGCCACTTCGGAGAACGTCAAAGCCCCTCTCGTAGCTCAGGGACAGCTTTGCTCAGCAAACAGGCACGTGGCCCTGCGGGGCAGCTGTTTGGTGAAACGCAGAGAGGACCTGCCTGCGCCCGCAAAGCCTCGCGCCGCAGCCGGAGCTTTAATCCATCACCCTGGCTGCTTAATAACCCTTAAATATTGAATGTGTTTGTGATGCAGGCACGGGGTGCTCCAGCTGCAGCACGCAGTCTTCCTCGGTGGCTGCAGCCCGTTGCCTCCTAAGTGGTGGATTTATTTACTTGTTTTTAGAAATACGTTGTTAGGAGGAGGTCTGTGAACAGCTTAGGCAGGTATCGCCTCAACAGCAGCTGTTCCTGCTGCCTGGGGCTTGGCGTGTGCCCCATGGCTGTGCTGCTTCCCTGGGCTTGGATGGGGGCTGCCCCTCCGGCCAGCATTGCCTTGCGTTACAACGTGCAACGCTTTTCCTCTGCTGGCTTTCTGGCAGAAACCAGGTGAAAGTAGCTATGAATGGGTGGTGATTCATTCTGGAAAAGTGCTTACAAACAGCATTTCCCCAGCTTTGCACGTTTGCAGCCCAGTAAGAATTACTCTCAAACGTGATGCTCTTTGGATTATGCTTAAATCAACTTTAGCAAGGCGGGGGAGAGAGGTTTTTTTTTTTTTCCTTGCATCATGCATTCCTGCAGCTGTCTGCAAACCTGCAGAAGCTCTCCCTTTTACCTTTGTTAGCCGAGTCAGAGGAGGTTTCTCATCCTCATTCATGAAAAAGCCGGGCGGAGGACTTCGTGCTGTACTCAGAGTAGAGCAAGGGAAGGCTGGCGGATGTGCAGTCGCAGCTGATTTGCCTCCTGCATGTAGGCGTAGCAGGAGCCTTGCCAACTCCTTTGTGTTTGTTGGCTTGCACAACAAGAGCTGTAGGATGTGCAGCTACAGAAATATGGGACAGCATCTATATCAGTCTCTTGCAGAATGGCCCATTCAGAAGCTGCTCGGATGTTATCCAGGATAGCTCCTTATATTACAAAATAATCCGGGTTTGCCCGGCTGGCCTCTGGCAGGGATGCAGCGGTTGTGAGAGTGTCCCTCGGTCAAACAGGCTGCTCTAGGGAGGTGACCCTGGAAAGCCTGATTTTCTGCAATTTTCTGGGATTTTCTATTCCTGTAAGGGGGGAAAAAAAAGGAAGATCCATTAAAAACCTGGTTTTGGTTAATATAAGGAATAGCTTACATGAAGCAAATGCGCCTCGCCTTCCAAAGGGGAACATGTGGTAGATACTTGGAGTTGTCTTAATAAGTGGATTGTGTTTGGGGGGGTGCCTTTGAGCTTTACATATAATACTTGAGCAATCGTGAAGTCTACAGGTGGGTGCTGGCTGCAAATGAACCTCCTTGTGCCTTGAAGTCCCTCCTGATTTAGTGCCATCCATCTCCTGCCCTCTCGTGTCCCCTCTCCTGTATCCGCCGTCCCATGAGCCCCTTACTGTGGCCGGCTGGAACAAATTGATGCTGCTTGTTGAGAAGATGTTTGTGGAATCAGAATTCATGTCAAACCCAGCTCAAATTAATCTAGAGAAAGAGAGTATTTTTAGCACAGGGGGTGGATGGAGGCCCGCGGGATATGTGATCTGGATGCTGATGAGGATTGTAGGACGGGAACGCTTTGGTGTGTGGTTTTTTTTTTGGCTGGGTCATTGTCTCATAGCAGAGAGAAGGATAATAGGAGCTGAAATCATCTTAAACAGCAATATAGCAAGAGTGCATCAGGCGTGAGCTGATGAAGGACTTTGCAACTGCCTGGGGATTAGGATAGTCCTTTGGGCCAGTTTAAGGGCACAGGGGCTGAAAGCCAGCGGGCAAAGGGTTTGGAGGGCAAAGCGGACCTGTGGCAGGGACGGATCCGTTCTCGTCCCTTCTCCCTCCCCACTTGGCCTGAGCTTGTGCTTGGGGGGTCCCTGCGGTGACTCTGTGCTGTCTCCTGCTGTGATGCTCTGGCGGCGGCAGTGGTGGTGGTGGTGATGCTCCAGCTGTGGTCCATGAGGAGCCCGTTCCTCCCAGCTGACACAGGAGCACCTGCGGGCACTAAGTCGCTCTGTTATGCACTTATAATTAGGTGCTATCAATAACCCACCGAGTCTGCTCTGCTGCCTAATGAGGTCCATCATGCTCTTGGCATCGAAGAAAATATCTTAAACCATGCAAAGTTAGAAATTGCTTTTTCTGGAGAGCGCCTTGCGGCACGGAGCCGGTTCTCCCAGGGGTGATGTGACACATCGCTCCTGGATCTGGCCGTGCTCCTGCCTGGGTGCAGCTATTCCCTTCCTTCTGGTCCCCTCCAAAAGTGCGATGGTTTGAATGTCTCCCCATGGGTCACAGCCCCTCACCTTTCCTCCGAGAGGACCAGCTATAAAGCAGGATTGCATTTTAATTTGGCTGCTTATTGCTGGGATGACACGTGCGTAATGCTGGAGCAGATGGCTGAAGTCACAGGGGATTAAGTCATTAACCTCGGTGGCCAGCAGCAGAGACGTTCTCTGGGGACCACAGTCTCATATCTTCTTCCTTGTGTTCAGACAACGCAAAAATAAGAATAGGGGCCAGGAAGGGCAGGGTAGTTGCTGGAGGCAGACAGAAGCGTCTCCTGAGATGCCAACTTCTAGAAGAGACGAGGTTAATTCATGGCCAGAAGACAGCTCATGCGCTTCTTGAATTTTTTTGGATTCCCCCTCCCCCCCAAAAAAAAATCTCCCCTCTCATTTCTGAGACTGGGATGAACCTGCAAAATAACAACCCTCCTGTAACACATCACTGGAGGCAGCAAGCACCTGGAGTGCTGCACTAGCACGGAACGGGATACTTTGAAATGCATGAATCCCCCTGGCCTCCTTGGGCATCTTCCCTCCATAGTGAGGGCTCTCAGCAGAGGATGAACTTTGAAAGTCGACCTGTAAAGCTCAAAGGATGCTTTGCCTTTAGTTACCTGTGCACTTGTAAGGGGAGAAAATTGCTTCTAATTTTTCATCCTGATTTTAATTATGTTTTCTTTAATCTGTAGCTTGGCTTCTTTTCTTGTCTCTTTTATACCATTAAAATTAGTCCTACTTTAATATTCAGCCCTTTAAGGCACATGATTTTCCCCATGGAGGCAAGTCAGTGCTTAATTCTGGAGGCAGTTTGTGACCTCCTTTGTGTTTTGCTTGAATTTTTTTGCCACGTAAGTGGTGGCTGAGTCCATCCCCGCTGTTTCCTGCGTGGGGCTGGGGAGCACTCAGCTCACGGTGCCCTGGGTCAGGTCCTTCTCCTGCCCCTGTGCAGCAGTTCATTGTCTGCTGCATTAAATGTCCTCCCCGACACGGTTTAAAACCCATTAGGCACATCTTTAGCCGTTCGCTTCTGCAGAGTGGCAATGAATATTTAAACACAACAAACTCTTGCGTGCCTGTCCCGCTGTTAAGTCTTGTTTTCCAAGATCATCAGCACTCAGTGCCAGTGACTGTCTGTCCCTCTCTGGATTGCTCTGGTCCTAGCGCAAGAGAAAACGCCGATGCCGTAGCACTGCTATCCTAGCTGGGATTCAGCCCGGCCTGAGGTGGTCCCTCAGCCTGGCGAGCAGCCTTCACTGCGTCCCTGTGGGACCCTCTGCCTGCCTGAAATCATGGGAGATGTTTGCAGGTCTTCCTCCGAATGCGAGCCCTTCCCCTGCCTGCGCCGGGGTTCCTGGGTGCGGGCAGGAGGTGGTAGGGAAGGCTTCCCACCAGCCCTCGCTGTCCCGGGGCTGCTCGCCTTTCTCTTCCAAACCATATTTATGGGGCCAGGCAGATATTATATTGTCAGGGGACTATTTTATTGCTGTTATCATCTCAGGTGCATGTTAAGCATTTCGGATATAGTGTATCGCCCGGTTCTTATATCTTGTTCCCATCAGTGACTAATACATATTTCTTTGGCAGATACCAGATGCTCTCCCTCTCTGCAGGGCTGTCTCCGGGAGCGGTGATGCTCCCGGGTGCTGGGCTTAGCCAGCTCTCTGCCACCGGCTTCAATTACTCCCCTCTTGGGCTTTTTTCTCTATTTTAACAATTTGAAGCATATTTCCTGCTCTTTGAAGTTAGTCTTACAGAAGCCAGAGGGATGGGCACTTTGAAGTGCGCATATTGGTAAGGAAGATGTTGCTGTAGTCCTAGAGACACGCAAGGGAGAGTGGAGAATTGGATGGCTATTTTATGTGCAGTAAAAATGAGGAACAAATGATATCTAGGGGAGAGGGAGAAAAAAGCTTTTGGGAAGGCAGAAAGCTTGTTCCTGGCTGCTACCTGGGCAAGAGCAGGGTGTCCCTCCAGTTACTGGTTAGCGGTGGGCGAACAGCCCATGCGTGGGGTTCTGGCAGACGTGTAGGATGGTGCTGGATGAAGCTGAAGAGAAACCTGGGCTTTTTGCTCCCGGTTATCACCTTAATCAGGAGCTTCCCAGCCTGCGGGTCTCGGTGCAGTACCCCCTTTCCCAGGTCCTGCCCTCTTTCTGCCAGGTTCATGCCAGGACTTGAATTTTAACTTTTTATACAGTCCTCTCATGGCAGAGTTTGAATCAGGAAAAAAAGCCCAATTTCTCCAGCTTGAATGGGTGTTTAATTAGGCAAATGTGCTTCATTTGAAACTGGTGCCACAGGTGTGTGTACTGACTGCTGAGGCTCTTCCACTGGTTAATAAAAAACCTGAAGGAGCCGCTTCTGGTAATGAGAAACTGGGAAAGATTTTGCAGCTAAATAATGAATCTGGTGCCACAGGTGTGTGTACTGACTGCTGAGGCTCTTCCACTGGTTAATAAAAAAACTGAAGGACGCTTCTGGTTAATGAATCTCTTGAAATGCAAAAGCTTTTTTTTTTTTTGTTTTGCTTTGATTGTGCCATTTGTTCTAGTTTCTATAATAAGTTTGTTTGGGCTTGCAGATTTCCAACTGGAAGCTGCTTCTCTTGGAGCAGAGCTCTTGCAGCACAGGGAGGGGAACTGCAGAAGCTATGCGCTTGTACATGTGCTTCGCTGCTAGGAAAATAAAGGTTTTGCCCCCAAAATGCGTTCCCTGCCCAGGTGAGAGCAAAGTGCTGCAACAGAAGCTGGATGTTGTTGGTTATTTGCTGTGGGGGCTCTTCATGGGGACCCTGCATTGCATGTGGTGAGACGTGGGCTGGGAACAACCACGGTGTGATTCATTTAATTTAAATAAGAAATGTTTGGGGAGCAGCTGGTTTCCAGGTTTTAATTGGAATACCGCTTGTTGCTGGCCGGGTGTTTATGGGATGATGCAGCTCTCCTGAAACCACTGAGACCTCCCCTGTTTGCAGCAGGGTGTATCGGCCACAGAGCTTGGGAAGGCACTAAGGGTGGGTGATGGCTCTAGCAGCTGACTTATTCTGTAGGAAGAAATCACCTATGGATCATCTGCAAAGCAGTAAGCAGATGCTCAAGGGCAGGGATAGACAGCCACATCTCTCAGGAGTAACACCGGAGCAGGGAGTTAGGCTAGCAGATAGCTTCCCCGTTAAGAGTAAAGTGGAAAAGCATTCAAGCACCTCGCTGCAGTCCAAGGATGCTGTTTTTCAACAAAAACTGTCTTGTCCAGGAAACAAACTAGCTCAGGTTGACAGCCAGAATTTCTGTATTTAGAGAGCCCATAGTCATGTCACTGCCGAAACTTCAGGTGATGAAAACTGAAGGAACTTGCAAGCTCGCCCATCTGCTGTCTGGTGACACCGTAGCTGTGAAAACAGCGATTTCTCCTCACTGCTGGCTCCGTCTGGCTCTGCTGGCTTCCCGGCCCCAGCCCAGCTTTTCTCTCTCCTCGCTGGGAATGGGCTGCAGGTTCATTAAAAACCGTCAGGAGGCACCTCCACGTCGGCAGCCGCCTTGGCCCTAAGCGCGCTCGAACCCGGGGAGATCAGCCCCCTGCGTGGGGAGGAGTGGGAAATTCTCCAGCGGGTTTTAGCACAGCCAACACCTTCCACCTAAACGAGATGTTGTAATAACACGGCTTTGGTCAGATAATGTATGCTGAGTCATGGAGCCGCGTCCCCGCTTTGGGCTTGACTCAGTGGCTGATGAAGTGCTTCGAGATGCTCCTGCTGACTGCAGCGAGTTTCCAATGGGGCATTTTATTGAACTGTAATAGGTTGCATGTTCCATGATGCTTTAATTTTCCCGTCTTGCTGCTCTTCCTTTATCAAGCACCCATGTACAATAACGCCGTTGCATTTCCTCGTGCGGTCCACGGGACGCCGGCCGCCCTGCGAGCGTCTGGAGACCAACCGCAGAGGCACCTTATGTAGAGGGGAGCTTATAAATTGTTTATGAGCGATTCCAAGGTGCTGGCAGCCAAGCTGTCATAAATCTGAAGCTGTCATCAGACATGTGGGAAAATGTCTTTTAAACGTCAGGTGTTTTTTATGGCACACCGTGTTAGCGGCTTTGTCAGATTTGGGTCAGGCTGCCGTGGGAGCGGATGGCAGCCCCGCAGGCGAGGGGGGCTGCTGCTCTCTCTGGTAGGCTCGGGTCTCCTCCTCCCTTTCTTCATTCCGTCTCCTTCCTCGCTGAATGGTATAAATAATGCATCCCTTTCCCCTTCTAGTGCTATTTTTAGGGCCGGGATTCTGGGTTAACTGAGCGTACAACTCGCCGCCAGCTCTTGGGTGCTCGGAAGGCAGCTCGTTCCTGCTCCCGCTTTGCAAACTGCTTTTGCCAGTGCTGTGTTTTTTTCAGAAGTTGCTTAACTGGGTTTTTTTTTACCTTTGCAGTAAACAGATGTGTTTTTATAGCCTGTTCTCCAGTGGGCTTTTTGCATTTTACTCAAAGAGCTAAGTATTTCCATGAAGTAAATTGTATGCAATTTTTTTCTTGGAAAATGAGAAAACTAATTAATTCATTCAGTCCTTCCGCCAGAGCCCTTCCAAGATCTCCTCTCGCAGTTCTTCCACGGGCAGTCGTCGGGACTGGGTGGAAAGGTTTCCATCTGGGGAAAGAGCTGCTTCGCTGATGCCAAATGGCTTTGTGCAAAGGTGCTGACTTGGATGGATTTTATGCTCGTGTGTGTATGTGGGAGCCGGGGCTGGTATCTGCTCTCTGGCAGCATCAGTGGAAGTTAATAGTCATGCAATATAAAGCTATAGGGGAATATAATACTCCGACATGTCCCCTGGGATGTGTCTTTTCCCCTGGTTGCATTCCTGTAGCTGGAAGAGGAGAGGCTCTGCTGGAAGCTGCACCAGGAGAAGGAGCAGCTGGACCAAAGGCAGCTGCTACCCGTTGGGAGCGGGACCCCCACATCCCAGCTGTGCGGTGCCTTTCCTGACAGCCCCTGTCCCCTTTCTGCCAGGCGACTCATGACCCGTCTGGAAGACATGCGCCGGAGCGTGCTGGGGGACGGGGTGAACCGCTGCATCCTCTGCGGGGAGCAGCTGGGGCCGCGGGGATCCGCCTGCGTTGTTTGCGAGGACTGCAAGAAGGTGAGGCATCTCCCTGCAACCTGCTGCCAGATGCAGCTCCCCCGGACCCACACATCCCCCCCCAGTGCAAAAATGGGCACGTCGATCTTTCAGTGCATGCTTTGATTGCTCAGTGTCCCTCCGCACGTGGCACAAGGGGACATCCCTGGGGGTTTCTGCAATCACCGATGTTTGTGCTGGGAGAGCTCTCGTTAACTGGCTCTCATTAACCTCACGCTCCCGAGGGATGGTGCTGGTGTGGTGGGACCTTCGGTGGCCGCGGAGTCCCTGCTGCCACCTGGCGCTTTGCTTTCTCTGTAGAACGTCTGCACCAAGTGCGGGGTGGAGACCACCAACAGCCGGCCCCACGCCATTTGGCTCTGCAAGATCTGCAGCGAGCAGCGCGAGGTGAGCACGGCAGCCCGGGTGCTTCCCCTGCCTTGGGTGTTCCTCGTGCTGGAGTGGGGATGCGGTCCCTGCCCTTGGTTTGTCACCCTGTGCACTGTCCCCACCCCAGACCTCTGAGACAGGATCAGCTCCTGTCTGGGAGTCCCAGGGACTTTCAGCCTCTCCCCCAGCATCATGAAACCTTGTCCAGCTACTTGAGTCTGGTTCTTACAGGATGATCTTGTTTTCTATATAAAATGCCTTTTTTTTTTTTTTTTCTTTCTTTCTTTAAAACAAAGCCTTGGGGTTGAAGAGGCTGTTGTGGCCAGAGATTGGCTCCCTGCCACCTACAGTGTGCAAAAGCTGAAGAGTTAATTAGGTGGACGGGCTGTGGGGTCGCTGTGGGGCAGGGGGTTATGGGGGTGCATGTCCTCAGTGTTGCCTGCTGGAGGCAGACCCCTGTGATGCAGGGGGGCAGCGGCTGCCAGGTCTGCACCCAGCATCCCCCCAAGACATGGGTGCCACCCCGCTGCCTGCACCCCCCAGGTGTGGAAGCGCTCCGGTGCCTGGTTCTTCAAGGGTTTGCCCAAGCAAGTGCTGCCACAGCCGATGCCTGTCAGCAAGAACAAGGGACTCCAAGCCCCAAGCGAGCCCAGCCCATCGGAGCTGCCCACCCAGGACCCGAAACTTGCCTCCCGTGCACCCACCCGAGGTAGGTGATGGCAGGGTGCTGACCCCCTCCCTCTGTGCAAGGGGTAGGGGTCCTGTCAGCAAGGTGTTGGGTCTCCTCCCCATTGTTTGCAAGGGCAAGCCCTAGCAAAAAGCATCCAGAGCAGTTGTGTAGCTGCTGCCTGTTTTATAAAGGGTGCAGAAATCGCCTCGCTGCCCTCCTGCCTGCTGAGGCTTTCTCCGGGCTGTCCAAGTCAGGATCGTCACGTTTGCAGGGACATCCTCGAGCAAAGCAGCCCTGGGTGGGGTTCTGGGGTGCCCGGCCGGGGGTTCGGGAAGTGCCTGGGTATGAACACGGTGATGCAGAAGCCTAGAAAAAATGAGAATAAAAAAGTAAACCTGGGGAAGGAGTGGCAGGAAAGCCTGAAGCCTAAAGCCTAGAAAAAATGAGAAGTAAACCTGGGGAAGGAGTGGCAGCACAGCCCGGGGTGGGGTTGGCGGGGGTGGTGTTGGCGGGGCGGGCGGGCTGCAGCTTCACCGCTTCTTGCTCTGTTTGTGCCCCCAAGGCCAGGTGGATGCCGGGCCCCCGGCCGAGCAGGACTCTGACGGTAAGCACCGGCATTCGCACCCTCCCCTGTGCCACTGCCTCGGTGCCGCCTGTGCCGAGCCCTCTCTCTCTCTCCCTCCCTCCTTTTCCCGTGGTGCTTTCCTGCGGGAGGCTGCAGCGGCAGGACCTCTCCTTGCTGCTGCCACCCACTGCGCGGGGACCGAGTTATTCTGGGGCTTCCCCACCTACTGCACACGCTTGGGCTGAAACGCTGCAATTGAAAGCGCTGAGCAGAATTGCCTCCGTAGGTGTCGTTTCCTGCTGCTGATTGGCAGGTGTTTTTCTGCTTATTTAATGGCAGTCCTTAGGAAACCTCCTGTGGAAACTTTAGGAGGCTCATGGGGGGGGCTCGTGCGTGTTGGCGAGGGATGGAGCAGCCGAGCTGTTCCTACTCTCTGCTCTGGTCACATTGGGTTCCCCCCACCAAAGCTCTTGTGCCGGTGCCCTGCGCCCAGGCTTGTGCCATGCACGGATAGCAGAGCAAGGTGAGGATGCAGTGGTCTTTTTTTATGGTTATACCTCCCCCCTCCAGCACTCACAGCCCCCCGAGGCTCTGCCTGCATCGTTGTGTTTAATAGCAATGCCGGCTGAGGGGGCTGCGGTAAGTGGCAGCAATCAGTGCCTCCTGCTTGCAGGGGTGAAGCCACGTTCCTTGCCAGGGCTCACCAATTTATAATCTCATATATGCCCTGTGCTGCTCAGGACCCACGTCCCCTGGATACTGCTGCCGGCACCGGCAGGAGCTGGGGCTCGGGGCTCCTGCTGCTCCCAGACCAGCCGTGCCGCTGGGAGTTAATTTTGAATAATAGCCCTCATTTTCACAGTTTGGCATGGGAGTGCTGAGTGATGAGGTTACCTGACACCCCCCCACACACCCCCCCAGCACCGGCTGCTCCCCACCAGGCGATGATTATGCTGGGAGTAGCCTAGTGGCTGCAAACCCTCCTCTTCCTCTCCCTCTCCCCTTCCTTGGCTGCATGGAGGAGGCAGTGGGGGGCTGAGGACACAACAACCCCCCAGAGCGGTCCCCTCCATCCCACCCTTCCTTTAGCCCAGGGTCTGTTGTGTCAGCAATAACTCAGCTGGCCGATGGCTGTCGATGAGCAGGAGGTATTAGCGGCTGGTTCCCGGGGCCGTGTTTGATTTCCCAGTGGTGGCTGCCTGGGGCTTTGCTCCGTGTTGGGCTGCGGGCAGGGCTGCGGGCAGGCAGCATCTCAGTGGGCAGAGTGGGTGGCACAGCCTTGTGCCGAGCCGTGCTCCCTCCGCCCTGCAGCACTGCTTGCAATGGGGATGCATCCTGCGTGTCTGGGGGGTGGTGTCGGGGCGAGCTCCGGGTCAGGGTACCCATGGGGGGGTACCCAGGCTGGGGTACCCATGGGTGCGGTGGTACCCGGGCTCAGCCGCAGCCCATGCTATGGCGCTCAGTGCTGGTGGGGGGCTCCGGCTGAGCCTTGGCAAGGCTGTGCCCAGCCTGGTTGTGCCGAGTGATGATCTTCATCTTCCCACACAACAGCAGTTGGGGAAACCACTTAATTAAGACTATTTAATCACGATGGTAGCTGGTGATGTTAAGCTTCCCAGCCCCACAACAGGCTGCTTTTATTAAGCCACCGTCTCGCCTGTGAGTAGGGGAGGGTTTGTCAGGCTCTGCAGCTCCCTCCTGGTGATCAGCATGCTCATGATGTGCCCATGACTTTCCTAAAGCTCCCTTGGAAAATTATTTATTGCATCGCTATTTCTGCACCACGGGGCTCCTGGTTGTGGATGCTCGTTTCCCCTCCTCCCTCCTCTTCAGCATCGTGACATTTTTACCCCCCTCTTCTCCCCCACCTGCAATCTGTTGCGTTTCGCTTTCTCCTTGCGCCCGGTGACCCTGAGAGCCCAAGCAAGGATAAACATCCTTGTCACAGCAAAGATTTATACCTGGCGTCTCCGGCACAAGCCAGGTGAGGGCTGAGATCTTTTCTATCACATCCATGGGTTGCAATTTATCACCACAAAGTGGTCTCGGCACCCTGGTGCATGTGGCTGGGATTTATCCACTGGGATGGCTGCTGCTGGGTGGATGGAAGTGAGAGGCAAAGGCAGCTGTCACCGTTGTCTCGCTAATAAATGGAAGATGATCAGCAAAAAGAAAATATGATCCCCCTGTCCTGGGGACTGTGGAGCTGTAATGGCATTAGGGGTTTGATGGGTGCTGAGGACCGGCTGACAGATGCCTCTGGCCTTTTTTTCCCGTGGGGCTCTCGTGTCTCCTGGTGTCCCTATGGTTTGCCATGTCCTTTGAGCTTTCCTGACCACCATGTGCAGGTTTGATGGTGCAGAGCCTTCCTGCTGCCCTGCAGGTGCCGGATGGCTGGCAGTCCCTAACACTCTGGGGGTGATGCTGCAGCAGCCATCCTCCTCCTCCTCCTCCTGCTCATGCCCAAGCTGGGCATCACCCAAGTGGCTGCTCTCAGGGCTGGCTTTGGGGATGGATGGGTGGTTGGGGTGCGGGCCTCACTGCTGCCTTTATCGCTCTCCCCACAGGCAGCGATGTGACGGCAGCTGCCCGGGGGAGCTACGCGGCGCCTGGCCACAAGCTGGCCGAGGGCAGGCCGGGCCTGTGCGGCAGCGAGCATGCCAGCGGGGACGCCGACAGCCATGACTACGCTGCCGAGAGCGGGGTCAGCAGGAGCCCTGGTGAGAGCTGCACTTCTGCATGCTTGTGCACGCTTCTGCATGTTTGGAAGGAGAGGGCTGGGGGGCACGAAGCCGGCAGCCAGACAAGGGTTGTCTCTGCTTGACGTGCAGCACTAAGTGATGCTGAGGGATTTCACATTGCAGAGCACCAGTGCCAGCTTCCCGTGCCGCTCACCTGCTGTTTTACACTGCTCTGTGGGGCTTGCTGACGGGGAGGTCCGGGGCGTTAGTGGGATTGGGGGGAGGTGTGAAGGGGAATTGCTGTCCGTTCTCCTGTGTGCAGGGGGGAGAGATGGGATCCTGCTGTGCTTTTCCCTGCAAAGAGGCATCTTATGGCCCATGAAAGGACATGAATTTGAAAAGCCCCATGCGTGATGAGAGCTGTAAGCGAAGAAAGGAGTGGGCTCAGCACTTACCAGGCTAATTTTAAGCAGAGATTAAGCAGAAATGCAGCCAAGTTGGGACCCTAAGTAGAAGCATTTTTCATGCTGCTATGCCCCCACCTCACTGCCAGGGTGGGCATGTGCCCTACGAGGTGATGCCGAAGAAGTAGGCATGGGCCAGCCCTGCCTGTGGGAGCCCGTGCTTCACTGGCGGGGGCCTGGCTGGGGATGTCATTTCTTGTTTCATGAAAACTTGATGTGCTCCAAGCTGTTATAAATGCCTGTGATACGAACGGGTGGCTGACAGCGTTCTGCGGGGCCTGGATCCTGCCCAGGTGCCTCCAGAAGGGGAAGGGCACTTGCAGAGACCACTTTTCATCTAGGAGCTGAGCTTGCAAATTTAATTGGTGAAGCTAAAAATGTCTGGAAAATATCCAAGTCCTCCTTAATTCCTTGGGGAAGAAAGGAATGTTCAATGGCAGGATAGGTAATAGCTGGAGAGGGGCGTTCAGGGCTGCCTGGGCTTCTGCCATGGGGAGTTGGTGTTTTAATTCATGTTTGGGTGGATGGCCCTTGAGGGTGCACCCGTGTCCCACTGCTGTCTCGGGGGACGCTGTGCAGCAGTGGTCCTGGGGCATTGCTGCCGGTCGGGCATGCAGGGGGACGGGGGTGTGACAGGCATCGCAGCGATGCTCCTGGGTTTGTTTGCTTTCCAGCACCCGGCCACCCCCCACATCCGTGTTCCTTGTTCCACGTCTCCTGCGTCTCCCTCTTTTTTTGCAGGCGGATTGGCGCAGCACGGGGTCCCCCTAGTGAAACGCTCCTTGCTCCACCCTGGGCTGCACCTGCTCCCCGCAGCGCTGACCCCAAAAACGTGCTGGGCTGAGCCGTTACCTCAGCCACCTCCATCCGTCGGCCAAACCTCTCTCCTCTCAGCTGCCTCCGGCTGCCCTTCCCCGGCCGATTGCAGCTGTAATCCTCTCCTCGACACAGGCAAAGCCCCTGGGGCCCAAAAAGCCCTTGCTGATTCTCCCCTCTCCTTGCAGGCGTGAAGCGGACCAACTCCCTGCAAGCCCCGCGGCCACCCCTGCCAGCTGCTGCCAGCCCCGCTCCTGGTCCCGGGCCAGCAGCACCGCCAGGTAGGACACGATGGGGATGCAGCCAGGATGCTTGGTCCTGGGGGACACGACACCCCGATGCTCTGCCACGGGCAGGGACCCCCCTGCTTTGAACAGTGCCAGTGCTGGGGTGGGAGAGGGGATGGAGGGCATCGCTCAGCTGAGCGCCCCAGTAATTCTGCATCTGTCCCCAGTGCCACTGGCAGCGGGAAGACCGGGTCCTGGGGCGGCCAGCCGGTTCCCAGAAAGACAAGGTAAAATTCGGTTGCCTGCAAGGGGCTGGGGGGCAGAGTGCGCCGGGGGCTAACGGGATCCCTCCCGCAGCGAGCCCGCCACTGGGACCCCCAGAGCCGGCCCGCGCCACTGCCAGGGAGGAGCGAGGAGGGGGCTACGCTGTGCTGCCCGCCAGAGAGGAGAGGCCAGCCCGGCAGCCCCCCGCCATCCCGCCAGTGCCTGCCGCCCCGCTGCGGCAGCCGCCCCAGGAGGAAGAGGAGGAGGATGCCAACAGCTATGACTCTGATGAAGGCAGTATGTACCCAGGGCACCCGGCTGGAGGGGAGGGAGTGGTTTCTTTGGGAAACCTGGAATTTTCAGGAGGTGGTTGCTGCGAGACTGTGACTCACACTGTAAGGTCATGGGTCTCTGGCAGGGAGAGTGCTTGGGGAACGCTGCTTCCCCGCGGGGCTCGGAGCCGAGGCAGGGTCTTGCAGGCTGTCCCTGCTCAGTCAGTTCAGCGCAGCTCGTGGGATCTTCAGTTGATCCAATTTACTTGACCAAATTACTTGAGCTCTGATGAGTGCTGGTTTAGGCTCTGTGCTCACACGACCTTTCCATTTCCAAATTCAAGTCCTGAAGGTGGCTGGCTCGTTCTATCAGAGCATCCTTTGCTGCGAGAAACGCCACTGGACCTGTCTGTAGGAAAGGCTTGGTGGCTTCAGTACCTTTACACCATGAGATCTCGGTCTTCAGTCATTTGCTCCCCTAACGAGGGAGCTTGCTGCATGAGGGTATTGCTTTGCCTGTCCAGCCTGTTCCCACCCAGGACAGGAAGAGCTGCTCTGGGCCAGGAGTGGGTGCAGAAATCGCGCTCGGATAGGAGCAGATGGACCCAGCTGAGGTTCTGTGCTAACTCTTCATCCTTGAGATCTTTTCCTGGTGAGCACGTGAAGACAAGCATGAGCTGGTTTACAAACAGGTCAAAACGGGGCCAAATGCTGGTCCCCAAGCCTTGGGAGGAGATGCTGGCCACCCGAGCTGAAACACCTTCTCAGGGTGGTCCTGGGGTGGCATTGCCTCCCCGAGCTGTGCCCACAGAAGGATTTGTACCGTTACCTTATGAGGTGTGGCTGAGGGAACTGGGGTGGTTTAGCCTGGAGACAAGGAGGCTGAGGGGAGACGTCATCGCTCTCTGCAACTACCCAAAAGGAGGTTGTAGCGAGGTGGGGGTCGGTCTCTTTTCCCAAGTAACAAGCGATAGGACGAGAGGAAATGGCCTCAAGTTGCGCCAGGGGAGGTTTAGATTGGACGTGAGGAAAAATTTCTTTACTGAAAGAGTGGTGAAACATTGGAACAGGCTGCCCAGGGAAGTGGTGGAGTCCCCATCCCTGGAGGTATTTAAAAGACGTGTAGATGAGGCACTTAGGGACATGGTTTAGTGGGCATGGTGGTGTTGGGTCAACGGTTGGACTCGATGATCTTAGAGGTCTTTTCCAACCTTAATGATTCTATGATTCTACCTCTTCCTTTGCCTGGTGAATATTAAAATCAGCTCAAAAGCCCCAGGCTGCCCTCCCTGTATCCTGGGCAGTTCCAGCTTTGTAAAGCTTTGATCAGAGCTCGTGAATCTGGCTGGATTTGTGTGTGACAGTTTGGCCGATGCTGGCACAGCCTCACGTGCATTAAATGGCTTTTACGTTTGAACCACAAATCTTTCTAATTACTACTAATCGGGGCTTATTAAACACGGTTATTGGCTGGGATTTTAATTGCCAACTCCTCCTCCTCTATCTCGCTGTCAGCTACGCTGGGAGCGCTGGAGTTCAGCCTGCTCTATGACCAGGAGAACAGCTCTCTGCACTGCACCCTCATCAAGGCCAAAGTAAGTGGTCCCCTTTTTCCTGACCGACTTAACCCTGTCTGGCTCCCAGCTACCCCAGTGCGATGGGCTGGGAGCAGCGTGGCTGCTGGCAGAGGCTGCTCCCCTGGGAGACCCAGCCCAGCCCCGCTGGCACTGCTGCTCCTGGCTGGGAAGGAAGGGTCTGTGGGGCTTTTTCTCGAGTGGGTCTGAGAGGTCTGCGGGGCTTTTCCTCAAGTGGGTCTGATGTTTCAGTGCATCGTGGCACCCACACCTGCTCGGGGTGGAGAATGAGGCTCTTGGCTTGCTGAACACATTTTCTCTTTACTGAGTTGCTTCACGAGTAGCTTTTTCTCTTTCCTGGCTCTGCTTAAGGAGGATTCATGCATCGTGTTTTCTTTATTATCTTTTAGGGCTTAAAACCAATGGACTCAAATGGCCTGGCAGATCCCTACGTCAAACTGCACCTCTTGCCTGGAGCCAGCAAGGTGAGGCTTTGCCTGGTTTGGGTGCGTTTTGGGCTGGAGATGCAGCAGAGGTTTCTCAAATCCTCCTGAGGTCCCTACCTTGTGTCAGACTTCCTCCCCTTGATTTCTCCACGCAGTTGCTCACTGCTGCTATTTTACCTGGGAGGTATCTCTGAAAAGTGGTGATGCTTGCAGATGCGCTCCCATACCCGAGGAACAGCTCACCCTGCAGACAGGGATCTGCTTAGGGATGGAGGGGAGCTCCAGAGGAGGTGACACTGTTAATGCATTGCAAAACATCTGACAAAAAAATCTAATTATTACCGGAGTTTGAAAGATCAGTTTGCTTTGAAGCTGCAGCATGTTCTCATTAGAGCTGTGAAGAAATAACCATTGAATAAACTCTGAGTAAACTTCCCCCCATCCAAGAAAGCTCTGGAAATCTCACTCCCCAGTCCAGCTAAGCTGATCTTGGTGGGGAAACCTTTGAGGAAGGGATGACCAGTGCTGGCTCCTTGCTCGGGGGCTGCAAAGCTCTTTCCTGCAGCAGAGTTTTGCCCAGAGGAACTAAGTGTAAAACAAAGGGAAAAACTGATAATAAAACCATTGGATTGATATTTACAGGTTTATTTTATGTGCAGGGGCTTTCTGGTCTTGTGCAGCGTAAATCAAGGTGTCATGATCTTGGGAATTGCTTTGATTTTTATTGCTCTCTTGTTTGCTGATCTTTTATTTTTTTTTTTTTTTTATTTTGCATGTGTGTTTGTGAAAGACACATGAACAAGTGACAGAGCTCCTCATTTCCCAAGCTGTCATCTCCTTTAGACCATGAGAGCTGTTACCCAAGCCCCGCACAGCCAAGCTGTCATCTCCTTTAGACCATGAGAACCGTTACCCAAGCCCCGCACAGCCTGCCCTGTGCAACTTTTTCTTGTACAAGTGTCCTTGAGGGAGTAGACCCCAGACAGTGAAGAAAGCTGGGTGGTGAAGGCTGCCCTGGCCACTGCAGGTGACAGAGTCCCCGGTGCTTGCATAAAGGTCCACCTTGTTAGGTCAGTGATGCTCACCTGGAGTTGATGGCTTACTGGCGTGACAGCCTCAGCAGGCAGTGGTGATGTCCTGCAGAGTCCTCCATGCCCTGGTCAAACCACCTCTTGTAAGCCAGAGGTGATGGAGCATCTAATTTACACTCGTCTGCCAGGAGCCTAAATTTAGGTGGGGAGGAGTTCAGGGGTGTAATTATGCCGTGTTTTGGTTTGATGCTGTAGTCAAATAAGCTGAGAACGAAGACTCTGCGCAATACCCGTAACCCCGTGTGGAATGAGACCCTGGTGTACCACGGCATCACAGATGAGGACATGCAAAGGAAAACTCTCAGGCAAGCAGAGGAGCTGGGGTTGACACCTCACCCTGTCATGGTGGGATGGGGACGGTGGGTCTCCTTGCACGGAGCATCGCAAGCCAGCCTTCCTCAGGAGGGCACCGGCAGCAAAGTGCAGGTGTTGATAGAGCACCTGGAAATGCAGAGGTTTTGGTCAAAATCAACATCCTTCACATGAACATGCTGATTTTGATGGTCCTTTTTAAAAAGAGAAAGAAAGGCATTTTGACCCTGTCGTTTAATATTAAATTATTGGCATTGCTATTATTCTTATCAGCAGAGAGATTTGTGTATTGCATATCTGTGCATGATTTGACAGTGTCCCAGCAAAACATTTAGGTGTCTCTAAAATTTTTGGCATTTCTTTCCTACAGGAAATTTCCACCTTTTGATTTCTTGCCCCATCGCAGAGTGCATATTAAAAATGTTGATTTTTCTGGCAAAACAGAAGTTTGGTTTTCTGACTGCTTTTGGTCAGAGGAGAGCCAGATGGACGGAGGCTTCGATGGTGCTTTGCTTTGTCCACCCCCCGAGCAGTGCCCTTGCAGGAGTGGTTTTGTGCTCCGGAGTCAGGTACTGCTCCAGCCTGGCTGATGTTCACCTTTCCTCTTCCCTTCAGGATCTCCGTGTGTGATGAAGACAAATTTGGCCACAATGAGTTTATTGGAGAAACTAGAGTTTCCTTGAAAAAACTCAAAGCCAATCAGAAAAAGAACTTCAACATCTGCTTGGAGAGAGTAATACCAGTGAGTTTCTGTGAAATTTCTTTCTGCTACCATTAATGTTGAGGTTGCTAACAAATGGCATGTGAGGGAGCTAGTGGTGAGCCTGGAGCTGGAACCAGCCAAGAGCGGTAGGTGCCTGACTTCACTGGCATCTTTAGGAGTTGGATTCCCACTGGCATCTGGGCTGATGTGACAGGTCAAGGCCAGGAGATAAGAGCGTGGTGGGAATCCAGGGGAAGTGACCCCAGGGATCTCCCTGGTGGCTGCAGATCTGCTGGCGTTGCCAGCCTATGCTGATGTATGTCACTGTGGAGGAGAGGACAGGTTGCTCCATCCCTGAGCTCTGCTCCCCAGTGCTCTGGGTGAGGTGCTGAGTCTGCTGAGGTGGAGGTTGATAGAGCAGATGAATGTACCTGAGCCCCCTTCCACTCCTGATGCCAGCAAAAGAGCTGGGCTGGGCTCCTCAGGGGTGTTTTTGCTGTAGGACGGTACCTCTTCCAGCTGTGGTCACTAATGGCAGTCTCTCTTTTTTCCCTTCCCCATCCAAGATGAAGCGTGCTGGAACGACCGGCTCATCCCGTGGGATGGCACTGTACGAAGAGGAGGTAAGAGTCCTTGGAGGACAACGTGCTCCATGCACGATTCACCCATCATCTCTCATATACAAGCCCCATTTTTCTTCCCCCTCATGGGGATACAAGGTTCCCTTGTATCCATCTTGTCTCATCTGCTCTGGAGTTGACCATCTTCCTCACTCAGCCCCCGTGTCCCCATCTCTGGTCGCTTCCTCTTGCAGGTAGATCGTGGTGGGGATGTGGAGGAGCGTGGGAAGATCCTCGTGTCCCTCATGTACAGCACCCAGCAGGGCGGCTTGATTGTTGGCATCGTACGCTGCGTGCATTTAGCAGCCATGGATGCCAACGGATACTCAGACCCTTTTGTTAAACTGTAAGTGGGAGCTGGGGGATGGCTTGGTGTGGTAACGGGTGGTCATGGAGCCACCCACTGTCCTTGAGCAGCAGCTGATGCTCCTTCCAAAACCACTGGAGAGAGGAGAGCGTTTCCCAAGCACCTTGAGACCTCATGCACAACTGAGCTGCCCACCGACAATGCCTGTGCGAGGTGGTAATGCTCTGCTTGAGTGCCCCTGCCATGGTTGAAGCTAGGTGAGACTGACCCAGCCCTTAGGTCCATCCACTTCCCATAGGTTCCCAAACGCGCAGACCCAACAGCCACCCCGTAGGTGCAGAGCTGGAGGACGAGAGGGGTCCTTCTCCCTGGCTTTGACCCACCATGCCTGCAGGGTGGAGAGGGCTTGATGTCCTTCCGTGCATGACGAGGAGCACGTGCCCTGCTCGCTGCCCCATAAGCCCATGTGCTGGTTGTAGCTGGGAGCCCAGGGATCGCCCTGCTGTGCCTGTGCCTGTCCCTGTCCCGTGCCATGTCTCCACTGCAAATGAATCAGCTTAATTAATGTAGACAGTGGTGGCGGCTGCGGTTTGTGCTGGCGATGCCTTGCTGCGACGGGGAGCAGGTCTCCTTGAGCAGCAGCGCACCCATCAGTGCTTGCAGGTGAGGGGGGAGCGGCGCTTGTTGAGTCGCTCCTGCAAACGTGGGGGAATAAGATCATTTTAACTCGAACCTCATAAACTGTGACACGGAGAGGACCCTGCAGTCATTCCCCATTGCAGTTGTGGCTGCAGGTGGGTTTTCGTTGCTGTTTTCTCTTTGCCTTCAGAAAAAACCTCTCTTCTCTCTAAAAGTCATTCAATAACTCTCGTGTTGAACATTTTGCACATCTTTTTGTAGCTGAGTGGAACTGAGTAGTTTTTCTTCTCAGTCTCTCTCTTATTTTTTTATATTTTCCATTCCCACAAACAGAAGATGGTGGCTTTCCATTTTTAAATCAACTTCCAACACAGATCTAATTAATGCCAACTCTACAACTTAGTTCTGGGTCTGCAGCCAGGCTGCAAAGCCCAAGCCCTAATTTTTCCCACATTCTCTAGGTTGAACCTACCTTGGCTGAGTACGCTAGTTTGTGTGGTATTAAACACTAATGGGCTATCTTTAGCTTTTTTTTTTTCATATTTCTCCCCATCTCTGTATGCGTTTGCACATTCTTGGCTGGGTTTTCCAGCGGCCAGGCTCGGTGACCGACCGTGCAATTGCCCTCGTCTGCTGGCGACCAGCCCGGCTGCTTATTTTCCATGTTCCCTGACAGTTTCAGCTGCTCCCCGCTGTCGGCCTCGGCAGGTTCCTCCCCACCTAAATGCAGAACTCGCCCTCTTTTGCTCTGTAAAACGCCCACAACCATTTCTTTTAGCATGGCTTGGGGAAAAAAGACTTGGGACCAGTGCGTGGTTTGGAAGGACATCAAGAGTGCATGTGCGGGCTCGCTGCTTTCTGGTGTCTGAGCAAGAGATGCTCCCCCAGAAAGGTTTCTGCTGAGCTCAGCACTCTGCGCAAAGCAGGTCTTTACGGCCAGGCTCGGTGACCGACCGTGCAATTGCCCTCGTCTGCTGGCGACCAGCCCGGCTGCTTATTTTCCATGTTCCCTGACAGTTTCAGCTGCTCCCCGCTGTCGGCCTCGGCAGGTTCCTCCCCACCTAAATGCAGAACTCGCCCTCTTTTGCTCTGTAAAACGCCCACAACCATTTCTTTTAGCATGGCTTGGGGAAAAAAGACTTGGGACCAGTGCGTGGTTTGGAAGGACATCAAGAGTGCATGTGCGGGCTCGCTGCTTTCTGGTGTGAGAGCAAGAGATGCTCCCCCAGAAAGGTTTCTGCTGAGCTCAGCACTCTGCGCAAAGCAGGTTTACGGTTTCCTGTGTCTTGTCTGGCAATCGGGGGGGGGAATCAGGATTTTACTAATTTTATATTTATTTCAGATAATTTTAGAAGGTGGGATGGGAGACTGGCTAACCCATTTCTTTGCCTTAAATATCTTCAGTTACTTTTTTCTAGCCCAAAACCTCACTTTTTTTAGTTTATAAACTCATGCTGTTCTTGCACTTGAGTTTTGAGCTGTTTTCTGTTGCCCCCAGTTGGCTGAAACCTGACATGGGAAAAAAGGCCAAGCACAAGACACAGATTAAGAAGAAAACATTGAATCCTGAGTTTAATGAGGTAAGGACAGATCTAATTTTTGTTTTATTAAATCAACTTAGGCAATTACTATGTTGTACGGAAGAGGTGGAAGACAAACTCCCTGAGGTTCGGTTCCTCACTTTCCCCTTTCTGCACCCAGGAATATTTTAGGAATGACTTTGCCACGGGAGATCTCACCGGTTCAGTGCCGGGCAGCACCGGTACGCACCAAAACCTCCCTGCTGCCTGTGTTGCTGACTCCATGCCACCCTGGCCAGGGGGTGTGGGTGGGACGAGCATCCCGGGGGGGAGGGGGGGTGTCCCATGGCTGGTGCTGCTTTGATGGGGCACCTGCAAAGTCCTCACTTAGATACAAGGGGTGAGCTCAGCTTATGGGTTTACGCAGTATGTGGTGATCCTGGGAGCAGAGGTGCTGCAGGGAAAGGGGGCATTTGCTCTTCATTAGTGTATTTTAAATATCCTCTCATTGGATTTTGAATTCAGGCTGTACAGAGAGATCATTTGCAATTCCTTAACTGCAGCTTTCTGGGTTGTATTTTCCTGGGATGCTTGGGATGACGCAGGTGTTCTCCTTCCGCAGGAGTTCTTCTATGATATAAAACACAGTGATCTGGCCAAGAAGTCACTGGACATTTCTGTCTGGGATTACGACATCGGAAAATCGAATGATTATATTGGTGAGCTGCAAGTCTCTGTGCTCTGGGGTTGCGGTTTCGATGCCCGATATAGCGCTCGCTGTACGGGAGGGGTGCGTAGGTCGCCTGCCCTGTGAGGAACCCCAGGCTGAGCTTTGAGGTGGCACCATGCAGGTTGGTTGGGCGCTTGTATCAGGCTATCAAATACAATACACCCACTGTACTGCCCCATCTCCAGCATCCCATGGGGTCTTCTGTGCAGGCAGAGCAGCTCTAGTTGTTTCCACTACGTTTTAAATCCAGGAGGTGGAGAGAAATGCCTCAAACGTGGGGTCTGTCCCCATGAAAGTGATTTACTGGAACATCAGCATCATCTCTGAATACGATGTCGCTTCTCCCTTTCTTCCAGGCGGCTGTCAGCTCGGCATTACGGCTAAGGGGGAGCGCTTGAAACACTGGTATGAATGCTTGAAGAACAAGGACAAGAAGATTGAACGCTGGCACACCCTCCAAAACGAGAACCATGTTGCCAGTGATTAAAGGGAGCTGCTGCCCGAACCTCCCCAAACAGCCCATCCTCTGCCAAGCCCCTGTAGATCTCTGATGTCCGTCTTCCAGCACAGTCATGCCTTGCTACATGCCTCTGGTCCCAGGGCAGCAACACTCTTCTGCCTCCTCCAAGCGTCCTCTGCGCCCCATCCTCACCTCCACCTGAAAACTAACCCAGATCTTTTGTATTCACTTCCTTTGGTTTTTTGGGGGAGTCATTGAATTATCCTGGTGTGTAATTCTGTCAAGCAATAGTTTCCCTCTGACTGTTCCTCTTTCTCACTAGTCTCACGCACGCCGTGATAGCCTTCCTGTTGTGTGTGTGGTGCTCTGTGTTCCTCCAGCCTCCGCTCGTGTGGCTTGTCCCATCACCACCGGCTCGTGGCTCCTTTATCTCCCAGTGGGATGTGCGGCCACCGGCCCGGCCATGCTCTCATCCGGCATGGGGGGTTTGAGCGCTGGTGTCAGAGCATCGGCCCGTTCTGCTTGTGTGATATCGATACCTCAGTTGCAATAATGAAAAAGCTGTTTGGCTTTGGTGTGGGTTGTAACTGTAGCCTGGTATCTGTGTTGTCGTGATTAGGCTAAAGCCTGTGTCACTGATGTAATCCTGCAAGTCCTGCTTGAGCTTTAGTTCTGAGTTGGTACACTTGAGCAATATTGTGGTACATCCTTTGCTGAGAAGATCCACCAATAATACAATAACAATAACGAGGAATAGGGAGCCACTCTGTGCTTGCAGGGAAACAGAGATTTGGGTTCGTTCGTGTTTGTTTCCAGCTGCCACGTGTGGTTCCTTTTGCCCGAGGAACTCGCACGCTCCGTTGCTGTAGGAGCCCACCCATGTTTCAAGCTTGTGACTACCTCCTCTTCACATCCTAGCTGCGTAGTAGTGACTAGCTGAACCCTGAGGGCAGTCCCTGGGCCCTCCTCAGACTAGCCTTTCCGTTGCCGACTGTTTGCCGTGCCACATGCAGGAGGGAAGCCAAGGGAGAAAATACTTCCCACCAACTAGCTGATGTGTGCAAGGATTATTGCTTTAAAATACCACAAATACTGAAATTAGCTGGAACAGTTAGAGGTCTTCCAACTTTGGGTTTTTTTGCAAGTCTGCACAAGAACCATTGTCTTCAACCTGCGCTTTAATGATTGTCTGGAGGTGTTTTATTTGCTATCGATAGCAGGAGAGTCAAGATGCTCTCAGACTGATGCTGATTGGGTTTGGTACCATTCGCTGTCTCTGGACAACCTCAAGCATAGCATTGTTGATAGCAGCACAATAAGCACTATGGGAATATATTGTCAGTCAGCTACACGCTACGCATGTTGTATGAAACCTGAACCCCAGCCCCTTCAGTTCACGCTGTCGTCCCATGAGTTCCCTTGCAACCTGCTGCTGTAGTGTGCTGTCCTGTGGCGTGTTCTCAATTCAGCTGTACTGCAGAGCTGTTTCTTTTGAACTGGATGAGTTATTTTCCTATTCTTGATTTCTGCCCCTTCCCCCAGTAGAATTTGCTCTGAGCGCTGACTTGCAACGAGCATCTCTGCGGGGCTGTGATTTCTGCAGCTGGTGGGGGCTGCGTGCTGAGCGATGCTAACCTCTCTGCGTGCTGAGCAATGCTGCTGCTGCAGAGCAGCCCTTCCCTAGCCCAGCTCAGGGCTTGCACTCCCACGGAGGTCTGCTTTCCCCCCCTAGCCCCGGCTGGGTGCTGCCAGCACGTTGTACCCAGCTCTCCACCAGGAGACACTCTTGGACCGCAGATGGATGGGGAAAGCAAACCTAAACCAGCGTGGGCATCCTCTGCTCCATTCAGCCCCGAGCTGGGGCAGCTCTTCCATCACCCCAGACTCTGTCCTGTGGCTGCTGAGATGAGAGCTGCTCGGGGCATGATGCACAGAAGAGTGTAATGGGAGAGGACACTGCAAAAATAGCTTTCCCCTCCTTATCATGCGGTTCTCGACTCTGCACCAGTAAGTGCAACGTCCCAGAGACCCTGAGCCACGCTGCCCTCAGCGTGGGCTGTGTGGAGGACGCAGGCTGAAACAACCCAGTTCTTCTGGATCGTTTCCCTCTGTGTTCAGCACTGCCTCATGCAGCTGGGCCAGGGCACTCGCTGCTCTGGGCAGAGGTGATTTGGCTGTAGGATGCTGCCGTCATCCCTTCCAGAGTGATGGACCTGCCCAAAATTTCTGCATGGCCCTTGCCTATACCTCTTGGAGCAGCAGTTGGGCACAGTGCACTTCGGAGCTGTGCTGGGGAAATGTGTGGCTGGGAATGAAATTATCTTTAAGGAAAAAAAGAAAAAAATATACAACTGAGCGATTCCTTAATTTATTCCAGACCTGCAGCAGCCCAGCCTCCTTTGTATGTGCAGAACAATTAAATTAAGGTTGCCTTTACCCATGTCCTGTATTGACATTCTCTGCTCAGCCTGCTTTCCCTTCAGACAAATGATACTCAAATCATCTCTTTGCACCCATAAAAATAAAGTGCAACTTGCCAATTCCCCCTTCTCGGTATTGTACAAACTACAGTCCTCGTCTCTGTTTGCCACCCTCTTCTCAGTTTTTCTGATGGTAATTTCTGCCCTGAATGACTTCTTTTCGTTGTAAATAAAGCATGCACGTATGGATTGGGAATGGTGAAAAAAAAAAAAGAAAAAAAGCCTCTTCTACTGCTGTTATGCATTCAAACTTGCATGCAGTGATTTTACAGCAAAGTACCAGTTTACAAATATTAAGAGAAAAAGAAAATGTTACACAGGAACTAGAAATACTCCAGTCTTCCGCTGCATGCAGCACAACATCTTCTCTTGATGTGGTATCTAATAAAGTGAGACTATTGGAAAAGGAAAAAAAAAAAACCCAAACCATGATGATTTTTGGCTTCTTTCATTCCCTGTGGGAATACAAACACCAGCATGGGGTGGTAGGGGTGGGCGGTTGTCCTGGTTGTGGGAATTTGTGGGGGGCTTGGGAGTGCTGGAGAGTTATGTTTGGTTGAGGAGGAGTTTGGGATGGCAGGGCGCAGCCTCTTCTCTGCAGGGAGAGGGCCCAGCCCCGCTTGGCTCTGCTCTCCTGCACCCCTGGGAGGTAATGGGGATGATGTGAGTGTTGGGGAGGTTAAAATCCTGGGTGCACCATGGGAATCGATCCTTTGTACACAGCCGAGACGTCCATGGGCTCCTGCTCGCTTTGTGCCTTGTTGGGTGGAAACGTCATAGGGGCATGCTGCCGGGGAAGACCATGGCACACGTGGCGGCAGTTGCTGCTTTGCTCTGGCACTTCTGTGGGTCCCCTTGAAAAGCAAACGCACCCCATGAGAAATGAACCTCCTGGTGCCGTTCTTCACGCCCCAGTTTCCCCATGTAGCTGCAGCTCCTGTTGCACCACTGCAGGAGAACACCCCCTCCAGCCGCTGCCCTACCCAAGCAAAATTTTTCTCCTTTTTTTTTTTTATTTTGGCATTTTTAGGCTCAATTTCTAGCAGATCATCAGGTGCTGACCCCAGGGAAGGGCACGCTGGGGTGGTGGGAGCCCCTGGGACGGCAGCGGGCAATGGTTCCACGAGGGCCGTGCCCCAGCACTGGACAGGGGGACATGGGTGGTGGCCTCGCCTCTCCGGGGACACCCACACCCTCCGTGTACCCAGAGGGGGCCTGTGGGGACAGAGCTGAGCCGTGGAGGGTGGCTGCATGGCAGGTTCAGCGCCGATGCCCAGAGACAGCAGCAGATGTCACTGATGCTCCAGGTATGGTACGGGAAGGACGGGCAGGAGGTGCCGGAAGGATGCCCACGACCAGGGCTGGTGTCCCCTCAGCACCCTCCATCCTGGTGGTGGGACCCCCTCAGTATCACCCATCTTGATGGTGGGACCTCCGACCCCTTCAGTAGCACCCATTGCGGTGGTGGCCCTCCAAATACAGTCTTCACGCAAGCTGTTGCTGAGCCTCGATGGATGACAGCCTTGGGGTGGCGGAGGAGCTGCCCCAGCCCCATGGCTGCTCCCACACTCCGCAGGTTTAACCCGTGGTTTCCCCGAGGCCAGGCCAGTGGCGGTTCTTCAAGAGAGGTCTGTGAGCATTTAAAGCCTCCCGAGGCATCTACGCTGATGAGATGCCATCACAGTGCATTGCAGTTGGCTTGGAAATAATTGCCCAGGAAAGACCTGCAGGCCAGGGTCCACCTTCCTCCCCTGAGCCACCAGTGGTCAGCTGGACTCATCTTGGAGCAAAAAGGTCAAAATGGCAAGTTAGATACCACTTTGTGGTAATTAGATTGTACATATAAGAGCAGCAGCAATGACTGGTATAGAAAATCGCCAAGATACTTAAAATTGTCGTATGGTGCTAACTGTATGTACTGCTCTTAATGAAGACCTTGAGCTCTCCCACGGGCCGGGAGAAGACCTCATGTTCTCACGCATGCTGGCAGGAAAACAACCAGCAGTTTCACATACACAGCAGTGACTGAACTGTCTGACGTGATCTCCTCTTTGGGGGCAAACTCCAAGGAAAAAGGGAAAAATGACGCTAGCTCCCAGTGAGCTGCTGGATGCGTTGTCTTGTCTTCAGAGGACAAGGAGAGGGATGGTTTGTGAGGACAATGAGCACAAAGCCCTTTGGTTATGTCATGCTGGATGCTAAGAGGCTTGAGCAGAGAAAATGGGTCATTTTCCAGAAATGGTGAAGCTGGACTCATGCTCACTCCCGGTGACTGCCAGTGGTGGTATTTTAGGTGGGATGGGTAGCAGAAAAGCAAACCACCATCCCCGTAATTACCAGGTGTGCTGAGAACAGCGGGGCCAATTGCATCTCCCTTTTTCTGCTGCTAAAGCTTGTTCTCTTCCAAACCTTTAGTGGCAGGAAATAGTTGGTCTTTGTCCTCTGAAAAAATAGTTCACACAGATGTCTAGCAGCCTTAAAATTGAGCTTTAACTTCTTTTTATTAGTGTTTTTCAGCATGAGAGCTTCCCATTGAGTTTTCCTCTC